ATACTCTTATTTGTACATATATTTTTCATTTGTTTTTATAATGTTTCATATTTCATATCATATTTTGTAATCCATTTTGTTAAAAAATAAAAAATAAACTTAATAATATAAGTTATGTATGTAAGTATGATTTATATTTTTTCATCCCATTTTGTTTTGTCATTGTCTTATAAATTGAATAGTATTATTGTATTACCTAACATTTATTCAAATACTAGATGTTTAGTCAAGACATACGTTGTGTTAAAAGAAAACATTACATTTTAAGGAACATCATTATTATAAATACTAATTCCACTTCTATATTAAAATGTAATGAATATATTTTTAAATAAAAGCTTTCATTTGTTTTTTCCTTATTGATTGTATTTAGTTTTAAAACATAAAAATAATAATCATAGATGTATTTTGTAGGTATACCTTCTAAGTTACTAACTTCTTAGTGTTTATTTAGCTATTTTGTGATAAATTGAGTACTTTGATAAATGTATTGATAGCATTTTTGACCATACATGTGCAACTGTGCACATTTCAAATAATTAACAACCGGATAGGTACTTGTGTTAGTTCTTACAGTGTTAAAATGTAAAAACTTGGTAATTATGAATTTATGTCGTTAGCATTTATTTATTTTTATACGCATACATTTAGCAATAATTATAAATTGAACTGGTATACTTACTTACCTATTGCCCAATTCCATATTTTGTATTTCGTTATAATACATCAATGAATATTAGTAATAAATACATAYAACAATAACTAATGAAAATAAAAAAACTATCTGTCCAAGTAATAATCGTTAGGTATATAGTGATTTTTAACAATTTTAACATTTTACTAAAGTATTTTGCTCTAATTAATTTTCTGTAGTGAACATTTTTTTGTTTTTTAATTTTAATCAGAAAAAATATTATTAGCATCAGACAATTATTTTGTATCTTRTGTAAATTTAAAATAGCCTTATTTTGGTATTGGCTACAATGGTATATATACGTATACTATGAAGTAACCTACATAATCAAAACCAGTCTGAATAAAATTTGTAAAAAAATTATCTTAATTTATAAATCAATTTTTTTTAATATAAACGACACTTTAAAGGAATTAAACATACTCGGTTTTAACTTTTATCCTATATGTAGAAACTTACAGTGTTCCCTACTGGCTAAATGAATTAGTCATAAAAAAAGTGTAATTTTATTTTTATTCAACAAATATTGCAATATTGAAACAATAGGTAGTAACTATAGTAATATCAAGTAATAGTTGTTGAAATTATATATGTCTGATTCGACAACTATGAAACCATCATTAGCATTTGTACATTTAAATAATTTGAAAAAAAACTTATTATAATTGTATATTCTTATATAGTTTTATCTTCTTTAAATTGGCTATAACTACCTAATATGAATATATATTTTTTTTTTATTGTTAAAAGATATTTTATAATGATTTTAATTTAAAAAAATAAAAATAGAAAAAATTTCATTAATGAATTGTTTCTCGTGCAGTAATAATATTATGCACATTTTAATGTAAAAACATATTTCCCAATAAGTTTAATTTTTGCCA